TTTCTATTCAAGGTCTCATTCCTGGGTACCTCAATGGCATTAGGTTCCCCAGCAATTGCCTTCTGCAAGCTCTGCCCCACTGTCTGCGTGCTGCAGAAACTCAAGAGGCAGCTAAGGAGTTTGCAATTTCATCTTTAAATTATTCTTGTATTTATCACAACATTTTGGGCCGCAGAGCCCTTGTGAAGATTTCCCTTTGTGGTTAGCCACCAGATTCTTCTGTTCTTTCCAGGCCTGAGCAGAAAGCTAAATATTCCTGTACTACAATGAAAGATTAGCTTCTGGAATAGTTTATCTGATCAGAAGCTTCTGACACAGAAGTACCATATGTTGCCAGAAAAAAATGCAAACACAAAAGCTGCTGTAAGGAAACCACTGAACGCCCAACAGGAACATGCAGTTCTTTGGACAAGCCTTCCTGAGGAGTTTGCCTGGAGCTCTCTCCAGACACTCAAGATGCAAGGTCCTGTGTTGCTCCTGAGCCTCCTTTTCAGTGTGTTGTGACTCTTCTCTTTCAGGACCTGCTGCAGGAGCAGAAGACCTAATTTTCACTCTGCATGAACTAAGCAACTGCTCCAGCTGAGAGGAGCTCCATGCTCAAACAAGAAGGCTGAATGAGACCGTCTGAAAAAGCTCCCTGTGAGTCAGAAGACAGACACTGTCATGCTCTGGGTATGTCTGGAGCCACAGCCTCAGGGCTGCAGCTTGGCTAAGAAAACAGCTACCTACTTACAGCAGGCTTGCTCAAGCCTGCAACACCCCCCACACCAAAGGCAGATAGAGAACATCTGCCAAGGGGATAGAGAGGGAAGTTGGTGCCTTGGCTGGAGAAACAGGCCCTTTCAGCAGGGCTGTGTGTGTGTTCAGCTCCCTCAGGACCACTTACACAAGCATTTTTCCTTTTAGCCTCGTGGTGACAGCTGTTTTCACAGGGAATGGTGGCCAGCCTTGTCTGGCTGCCTCCCCACAGCTGCTGTTCTCCTTTTACCTTCATGTCCACCAAGAACCAAAGGCGCTGCCAAATACCTTGTGACCACGATCAGCCTGTGGGTCACTGCTCTGTCCTGTACCTCTTGTCTAGGCATCTCCAGGCTATCTGTTCTTGTCATAGCACATGCCATAGTTGAGACATCCACAATACACAGCATCACCACACGATTTCAAAAAGCTTCACCCCATACAGAGTAAGATCATGTCACTTTAGAAGGCTGCAAGCATCTGCCCTTCTTGTCCTTCAGCCCAGCCTTTTATCCCCTGCTGTTGCTGCCCTGCCCCTGAGTGCCCTCTGTTCCCTTTGGTGGTTGGTCAGTGCCCCTGGGCACTCCATGGCTCATTCCCTTCAACAGCATTCACCTGTCCTGCACAGCTGTGCCCACTGGGGATGAGGCTGGGCCAGCCCCACTCCCAGTCACCACAAACTGAACAAGGAAGGGTTCCTGCAAAGATCCAGGAACCTGGGAGTTCATAGCACAAGGGATTGCAAGGCTCCATTGTTTAATAAACAAAGCAATAATATAAGCTTATTCACTATTCACAAGTAGTGAAACACAGATGCCAAACACTTTACTCACAGAAATTCAGTTTTCTGCAACCATATCCATTGGCTGGATCAAAAAATAAAGGTTCTTTCTGAACTTTGTTCCACAGCTATACTTTAATTATCCATAATATCAAAACACATAATTACATTTTCAAAAATAAGAAAAAGAAAACCCCAAAAACCCAGAAAAGGGGGAAACTTGGAATTTGCATGATCCTCCAGAAAACATTTGAGTTCCTCCATGGCCAATGCAAACCAGAGCAGAAGAATTCAAGCCGCAGCCTATAGACATACCTACAGCAATTCTGGCTAGAGAATTACAAAGGATAGATCCTATAACAGGTGCACAGGATTTTTAGGCACACCACTCAATACAGGGGTGTTAGATAGTTAGCAGGAGGTTTCAGAAGACAAGTCAAGTACCTGTCAAGTTCCAGAACCCTGTCTCACCCATGCCTGCAGCACTCTGCTGCCACACTGGATAATGCAGAATGTGTAGGTGTGGGCACATCAGTAGGAAGAGGAAAAGGATGAAGCAGAAGGCAGCAAAAGTCAGTTCAACCTGTAACCCACAAATTCCTCAAAACTAAGTTCCACCTTTGAAAAGTTTCTACCATAATTTAATGATTACGTGAAGAACCGGAGCAGAATCAAGTTCCTCATCCAAGAGGTGGAAATTCATTGGATCTTGATAAAATGCCTGTTTTTCAGAGCTCCCTTTATCTTGGCCAAAGCACGTAATTTCTGTTGTCTCACAGTTTAGGGGTTTTTTTGGGTGTAGTTTGTTTTTTTTTTTTACACTCAGTAAATTCCAGTACATGCTCCCAGAAGAAAGGTGCTTTGGAATTATCCTCAGGGACCTGATGCCAACAGCACAGCAGGAAGCAAAGGGAGTAACAGGCAGAGAGGCACATCACAGGGAGCTCTGCCCCTCTACCCAATAATAACAGGAATGAGCCCACAGAAGGAGCCACAGCCCCAGGTTAGAGGTGCTCCACTCCTGGTAAAGGACATAAAACAACAAGCTCCATTTTCCAGATATTGTCAGTGGGCATTGAAACCAGTTATCACTGCTGCATATGCTAGAATTGAGCATTTTACTCACCAACACACTAAGCCAGCACTCCTCTATCTCTATCTGGTATCTAGCAAAAACTCTGAAAAATTTATGGATTTCTTAGAAGAAAATGACTCAGCAACAGATAAAGCTTCTCCAGCATAATGCCTTGTGAGAAGGAAGTCAGAAAATTGCTGCAGAGAGACCTAAGAACTTTAAACTATTAAGATACATGTCCAGACAAAATTTTTCCACTCTGTCAAGTTTGGCTGCAACTGACTAATGTACTTTAAGTAATCCAAAGACCAGCAACCATTCAAGGAATTCTGAAGTTCTCTAGATAGCCATCTTATTTGAACTTGCTTCATGTCTTCCCCTTTTCCTCATTTCTGGCAGTAACTTGAGGCTTTATTTGAAGTACTTTTAGAAATAATAGTTATTTATATCTGCATAATAGCCTCTCCTTAATAATTCTGACAAGATATGCTCCCTCTAATTTCCAGCAGAAGTGTTTCCCATGTTGCACAATGGTAAAAGTATTGCCCAAAGCCTGTTAGTATTGTTTAGATTTTCCTTATTATAAGCTTGAAGCACCTTTGGCAATCACAAATTGAAATTACATCAGTCTCATGCAAAAAGCACATCCACACAGGATGAACTGCAAGGTTAGACCCAGACTGTCATGGCTCAGTTTGTCTATGTCATTATTTATTTCATTACTACAGCTCCACTAATGAAATAGTTATTACTAATATCCAAATAATTTTTTTTTTTTTGGTCTTAAGATGGGCACGATATGCAGATTCTCTGTATAGGAACAATTTCAAATCCTTCATGTGATAGAACTACAAAATGAAGCTGAATGGACTAAGCCCAGTTCTGGTGCAAGCTGAGCACCTTGCTGATCAGCACTGTGGTCAGATTGATCTGCATGAAAACTTAGTGACCAATAAGCATTGAAAAACCGACACATGTACTTACCACACAGGAAGCTTCATATTGTTTCCCCAGTTTAGGTCTTAAAAATGCACTGAAAGAAAGGAGAAGCAGCATTAGAGATCCAGTACATCAACATGTATTTTTCTTAGTTATTTTTTAGGATTCTTCTCATGTCAGAACATTGTCAAAAGGCTGACAAACTCATTGTAAAAGAAGACATAAGCCAAAACTATGTTCAGATACCTGTTGATGATATCTGAAAAATGCTGTTATGTTTTCCAGAAGAAGTGCCCACCCCGATATGCCAAGAGGCATTTAATTCAGCCCACACATTCCCAGGGATAAAATCTTCCAGCAGACAATTTTCAGCCATTTTACTTCAGTGAAATATTTTTAACATATCCTGTATAAAATTAGTTACATATTACTAAACTTTGCCTTGCCTCTATTTTAAGCCAGAGATCAACTTGCCAGCTCCGTATGAAATATTTTTTCTGCACAGCTGCTGATGTGGAAGGCTCATGGTGAAGTGCAGGCCTGTATGCTGTATGTAGAGAACATTCACCCTCTACCATTCTCCTCCAGAATGAGATCAGAGTAAATATAAAAAAAATAATCAGGTCACCTTACTGCAGTTTTTATTTTTTTTTAATTTTATTTTGAAGGACACTGGCTGTGGCATAAGGGGATTTTGTGAGTGAGGCCTTAAATTAGAGCCACAACCTTCAAATCTTCCAACCTCCCCCACAATGTTTTCAATCTAGAATCCTGCTAGGACAGGAGGCTGACAGGACTCAGAAGGAACATAAAGCACTAGATGTACATTCAGCTTGCCCCTCACACATGTCCAATCCCTCACTCTGCAGCCCTGGGAAATGAGGGGAGACTGGGACACGTCTGTTTGCACGCTGGCCTCTCTCAGCACAGACTGCACTTCCAGGACAGCTGCAAATACAGAGAGAAGCACAGCTGCAGGTCTGGTGCAGCACTGCTGGATGCTGCCTCTGCTACAAGGGCTCCTCCATGAGTTCTCTTAAAGATGGGGGACGGAGGGGATGGGGAGCACGGGACAGGGATGGAGGGAAAGGTGCATGGACAAACAGACACGGATGGTTTAAAGTCAAAGCAAGAAGCTGCCTGGGACTGCCTCTAGGTTAAGCTGCCTTGAGACGTCTTCCCATAGCTGATACACACAAATTGCTCTATATTGAGTTTAAAAAAAAAAAAAAAAACAGGGTTGTTTTTTTTTTTTTTTCTCACGGCTTCACATCGCAGCTGCAGTAATCACTGCATCCCCCCCGCCACAGGGGCAGCCCGCATCCCCTCCGCACTCGCAGTGCCCTGTTGCAACCGCATCCCAAGCGCCCCGCTCTTACCTGGTTTGCCTCCACAGGAAGGTCTGGATGGGCAGAGGGATGCCGCGGCCACTCTCCTGCTCCTGGCCCTCGGAGCTTTTCCTTTTCACCATGGTGCCGGTGCGAGCTGCCGCAGCCTCAGCAGACGCGCCAGCCGGGATCTCCCATGGCCGCCTCAGGCCCCCGCAACTCCTCACCCTCTCCCCTCCATTGCCCACAGCCCGCCCCCTCTCTCAGCCCCGCCGGTGCAAGATGGCTGCAGAGGAGGCAGGGAGAAGGAAATTAGGGGGAGCGAAGATGTCCGCGTCCTTCGGCTTCCTCCGAGCCTTCAGCACCTCCCTCTGTGGCCAGCTCCCGGTGCCCGGAGCGGGCGGTGCCGAGGGAGGGCGGCGGGAGGAGGCACCGCCCGCCAAACTTCCCGCACAGCAACAGGGCAGCCCCGGCACGGAGAGGCATTCCCGGAGCATCCCGGAGCCTGCCGAGCCGGGAGAGACCCTCCCTCCCTCCATCCCCCTTCCTATCCGCTCTTCTTCCTTCTCAAACGGGCTGAGAAGGGCAGCAAGGCACAAACCCCCCCTGAAAGTGCAGGTCGGTGATTGCGGGAAATGGGTCCGTAGAGAATTCTCAAAGCCGGAAAGAAAGTTCACACAGTGCGTGCATCTCTATGCAAACTTTGAGGTAAGGAATGCCGACCTAGAAATGCCGTGGAATGGGACAGACATTGTTGAGAGAGAAATGGAACTAGAAACAAGTTTCAAAGGGTGGCCTTGCAAATAAGACTGGAGACTTTGGAGAAATAGAACTATCAAGGACGCATTGTATCATGACCCACGAGAGGTAATTCCAGATGATTAGATGGTTTAAGGCATTTACAGCATGGCAGAGCTAAAACTGATAGGCCAAGAAACGCTTATCATGTACTGTAATTAAGAAATAGTTGGCTTCTAATTGTGATGGAGTGAATGTAACATCTGCATTCTCACTCTTCACATGAGACTGAAAATAGAATAAAAGTTTTTAAATCTCTCTCTGTTACCCCATCTCTGGGTCAGAAAAGGGCCTAATCCAACAGGTGGTGGGAACAGAGGAATTTTGCGGTAGTTATTCCACAGATTTTTCTTACACAGAAGAGCTGAGGCAGAAGTGGAGAGGATAGGAAGTGCCAAAGCAGATTTACTGGTGTTTCCAATTAGACACCAGACTGATTTGACTAAACAAGCACTTGTTGGAGTCAGGTTTGCTACAAGCATTTCTCAGGCACTGACAGATTAGCTCTCCTTCTCTACCTAAGAATGGTATACTACAACAAATAACGAAAAAAATAAATTTAAAGACCAATGCAAGTTCATCCCAAACAGTTTTCACAGGAAAAAAAAAAAAGTGACATTCTGTTGCTTATATGAAGACTCTTTAGAGGAAACAAATAGCTTTGAAGTTCAGGATTCTTTTCCTACTCTTCTTTGTGCATAGCCAGTGCTCTGCCCTTCCACAAGCCAATAGCAAGTGGAGGTCACACAGCCCAGCACTGAGGGGAAACTAAATCACTTGTTGGAATTTTGTTTATCCTTACTTTGTCGTAATTGGAAATAGAACTGCAAACTGCAGTTCTAGTCAAGCTTGCCATCTGAGTGCAGCATGTTGCTGTTCAGCCAGTCACAAAAGGCACATAAATCCCTTTATTTGTACAGAGGTTTAAAGTTCTGATGCAAAACAAATCAGAGAGCAAAGGAAGCGTTATCAGCTGCTGGCTCTGTCACAAGAACTGCAGGCACAAAGATGCAGATCTCAAACCCAGACAGGCCATGACCAGCACTAAACCCAGGAGGTGGCAAAGGTACTTGACATTAAGTTTGACAGTGGTTAGAGACAAGTTTTGTTCTCATCTTGTTTTGGAGACAATGCCCACCACCACAAAGCTGAACCAATCTGTATCTCTGTGAGTAAAATTAATTGCATGTGTAAGAGAAGAACAAATTTTACTATCTGGAAGATTTTATTTATCTCTATACTGAATTTCTGCTGCCGAGACTTTCAGATATGCAGTTAGCATTTGACCACACATAAATACTGACACTACAGTGGATGCTACAAAGGTAAAGTCCTGTAAATGAGCCCCTTGCCTTCCCTTACAGTTGGGAGAGGGAGAGGAAAAAATTAGTCTTCAGAGAGGCCATTATAGTAGGACAACAGCAGTGTCCTGAAAATTCACCTGTGCTCTGTTCCCTAGGCTACTCTGGCACCTTGGGCTGGCACAGAAACACAGGTCAGTCTGCCTGCAAAAAGATCAAAAGTACTGCAGAAAGTCTCTTCAAAATGATCAAGACTACTGCAAAAAGCCAAAGCAGGTGAGGGAAAAGTGAAGAAAACTCTGCATTACTCCAACAACTCCTGGCCCATGCCAACTGCTCAGTCACAGAAGATGCCCATGACACTAACCAGCCATTTCCTCTCTCACTGCAGGCAGGAGGAACCTGACATGCCTCCAGACCACAGGATTCTGCTTGATCACTCCTTTATTCATCAGACAGTTGTTTACAATCCAGTACAGCAGGATTTAGTCTTGATCCAGAACCAGTCAGGGCTGGCAGGATAGCACAGTGGGGACACAGAGCAGAACCTGAGCTTGAAGCCCCCACCTCACACAGGAGTGCTCAGAGCAGGGAGCTGCTCAAACCTCACTGCCTTGCACTTGTTTCCATGGTTATGCTCTCCAAGTTCCCACTCCTAATCATTCCCTGCTGTACACACTCCTAAGAATTCACATCTTATTTATCTGAACTCTGTGTGCAGAATCCAGGCTCTCAAGAGCATGTCAAGCCATTCTGTTCTGCAACAGCCTTTCCAAGAGCAAAGCTGCAAAGAATTCCTAAATGCAGGGAAAAAAACATTTATTTGCCCATATCCTCAAGATCTTACTCTTCCACTGGCTGTCAGCAGGCTTCTGTCCTGGCTGAGCAGACCCATCATGAAGGAAAACCCTTTCTCTCTAGGGACAAGCAGTCACAGAAGATCAGCACTGATGGATGTCACTCCTTCTACCCTTTCCCATATGGGTCTGTCAGGGAGAAGGAATGTAAAAATTGAGAGAAGCCTAGGAAAGCCCTGTTTTTTATATAAGGGCTTTTAAAACACTTCAACTAAGGTTAGTCAGAAGTCTCCTTCACAGGTCTTCTGGCTAGCCCTGCTCAAACAACAACTGCGCTCAGAGACAAGGATAAATAATCATTAAAATTGCAAGGATTCCCTAAAATGACACATTTTGCTGCTGTTGTTGCATGAATTCAGGCAGGAGTGGACTGCAGTTCAGCTGGATCAGATTCCACAAGAGCAGTTAGATATTTAACCCCTCAGCCACATTTAGGTAGAGCCAGTAGAGTGGCACAGCACTCATGCATCTGAGAATTCTACCTCAAAACAGAGTAGAAGCAAAAGCCCTCCACACAGAAAATGACTGCCTTTGCATAATGTTCAAGCAACAAAACAGATTCACATAGACATTTAACTTCAGTTCCATGCACTACAGGCACAGCTAGATAGGACAGGATGGGAGGGAACAAAATCCTGGAGATGACCTGGAGGGATTATCTGGACAAGACTGGGGGAAAAAAAAAAAAACAAAAAAACAACCAACTCAGTTTTCACAATCAGATTATCATCCCTTGCTCAGGACTCACCATGCTCTGGTAGTAGGTGGAAAACCTTTGCTTCTTTTGGGGCAAAAAGGCAACAAACCTCCTCCCCTCAAACCCTGCCCCACCCAACCTTTTTATCTTCTTCCTAGAGAAGGAGGTGTGGATCTCTTGAGCCACTGAGTCACCAAACATGCCTTCCTCTCTGTTCCTCAGAGAGAGCTGAGCACCTCCTCCCCAGCATGCTTCTCTGTCCATAGCAAGGGTGCTCACACAAAACCAGGTTTGGGAATCTCTCTACCAAGGCCACACTGTTTGAAAATCCCAGCAGCTGGGACTTCTGCATGGCCAAACAGCTCTAGGTGGAAAGCCCTCTACCTCTTACCCATGTCTCACCTTCTGCCCTCCTCCTGTACGAGGAACACCCCAGGAGCTGAGACAGGCACAGGATGGACAGATGCTCTGTACCTCTAACACACACTGCAGCAGGATTCCTGGGCCTCCTTCCCTTTCAATAACAAGAAGTTTATCAAGATTTTTTTTCACAAGTTTTACTCATCTCAATGCTCCAATGTCTCAGCACACATCACAGTTGAGACAACCACAATACACAGAATATCACAACACAATTTCAGAAAGGTTCAGCCCACACAGAGTAACACCTCACCACTTCAGAAGGCTTTAGGCATCTGCCCTGGTTCTTCAGCCCAGCCTTTATTCCCTCCTGTTGATGCAGTGCCCCTGTGTGCCCTCTGCTCCCTTTGGTGGTTGGTCAGTGCCAAGTGTCTCATTACCTTCAATGCTGCTCACCTGCTTCTCACAGCTGTAACCAATTGGGGATGAGGCTCAGCCACAGCCCCACTCCCAATCACCACAAACTGTGTACCTACACTCCATCACCACAATCTACTAGTAAAATTATGAAATAGATCACCTATCATATGCTGTTAATAAGATTCAACAATCACAGAAATGTCATCTCTTCCTTGTTCACCGTGAAAGGGACAAACAGGTTCTTACCAGCTGTCCTCAACCATTGTTCTAGCTGTGAATACTTAAATCATTATTTACCCTTTTGTTCTTAGCTTCTTAATCCTTCCCCTTTCTACAGATAGATGATGCATTAGTTCTGCCTTGTACCTAAGCATGCTTAGGAGGGTGCTGCCATTGGATAATTTATCATTCCTTCAGGTCATTTGACAGCATTTACTTAGGGACATTGCAGCATTGTGTGTGAAGTCCAGCTTGCTGAAGGTTTGGGATACCTAAAGCACTGCTTTCGGCTGTATTTGACTCTCATTAACAACCTGAAAAGGGTCCTGCTTTACTTTCCTTTACAGCTTAGCCATCCTGACTCTTGACAGCAGCAAACTCCTGCTGTTGGCTTCTCTGACAGACCCTGACTGCTGCTCATTCCTGCTGGAATATGTCTGCAAGCGTTCCCCTGCTGCCTCTGACCACAGGCTTTTACCTGGCTCAGCTGTGACTGCAGGCTCCAACAGCAGCTCAAACTCCACCAGACCCAGGCTGACCTCACAACAAATCTTCTACAACAGCAACTCTCTCCCTTGTTTTGCTCTTCTTTGTGCCTCTCTGGATTATTTCTTCTTCCGTAGGGCTCCTCTTTGTCAAGGCTCTCCCTGGTGCCCCAACCCACCCTTTTATCACACTTATTAGTCACAGCTACAACCCATTAAGGGCAAGGCTGGTCTTCTTTGGGAATTAGTACAGCTGTGACTTATCAGGGACAGGCCCCTTCCAAACCGATCTATGATTTCTCCGTTCCACCCAGAGCACAAAACTGCACTCCCCTGGGCCGGAGTTCAGGCTGGTGCTGAGTATCCACCCCGGATCCACGATGACACACTCCAAGCACCCCTCAAAGCCTGTGCTGTTTCCTGGTTAGTTTCCAAGACAGACCCAAAAGCTCATCCCCATGCCCCAACTCCTGTCACCTTCACCACCCTGGCACTGTCCATGTGCTCCTGCTATGCCCAGATGGCTTGAGGGCATCTGTGGGGCGGGTGGGTGAAGGAGGCCACGACACACAGGCAGCCCGGAGCCGCCGTTACCCTGGTGAACACGGGCCCTGAGGGCCAGTGCCACACGAGCAGGTCAGGGCCGCCATTTTGCTGGTGTAGAAGGGCCCTGAGGGCTGTGCCACATTGGCAGCCCGGGGCTGCCATTTCCCTGGTGTACAAGGGCCCTGAGGGCCGGTGTGTGGCCACACCACATTGGCAGCCCAGGGCTGCCATTTCCCTGGTGTACAAGGGCTCTGAGGGCTGGTATGTGGCCATGCCACATTGGCAGCCTGGGGCTGCCATTTCCCTGCTGTATAAGGAGCCTGAGGGCCGGTGTGTGGCTGTGCCACATTGGCAGCCATTTTCCTCATGTACAACGGCCCTGAGGACCGGTGCATGGCTGTGCCACATTGGCAGCCATTTCCCTCATGTACAACGGCCCTCAGGGCCGGTGTGGCTGTGCCACATTGGCAGCCATTTCCCTCATGTACAAGGGCCCTGAGGGCCGGTGTGTGGCTGTGACACATTGGCAGCCATTTTCCTCATGTACAACGGCCCTGAGGGCCGGTGTGTGGCTGTGACACATTGGCAGCCATTTCCCTCATGTACAACGGCCCTCAGGGCTGGTGCATGGCTGTGCCACATGGGTGGCCTGAGGCCACCACTTCTCTGGTGTACAAGGGCCTGAGGGCTGGTGTGTGACTGTGACACATTGGCAGCCATTTCCCTGGTGTACAAGGGCCCTGAGGGTCAGTGTGTGGCCATGCCACATTGGCAGCCCAGGGCCGCCATTTCCCTGCTGTACAAGAAGCCTGAGGGCCGGAGCGTGGCTGTGACACATTGGCAGCCATTTCCGTGGTGTACAAGGGTCCTGAGGGCCGGTGTGTAGCTGTGACACATTGGCAGCCATTTCCCTGGTGTAGAAGGGCCCTGAGGGTCAGTGTGTGGCTGTGCCACATTGGCAGCCCAAGGCCACCATTTCCATGGTGTACAAGGGCCCTGAGGGCTTGTATGTGGCCATGCCACATTGGCAGCCCGGGGCTGCCATTTCCCTGCTGTACAAGGAGCCTGAGGGCCAGCGTGTGGCTGTGACATATTGGCAGCCATTTCCCTCATGTACAACGGCCCTGAGGACTGGTGTGTGCCTGTGACACATTGGCAGCCATTTCCCTGGTGTACAAAGGCCCTGAGGGTCGGTGCGTGGCTGTGCCACATGGGTGGCCTGAGGCCACCATTTCCCTGGTGTACCAGGGCCCTGAGTGCTGGTGTAAGGCCGTGCCATATGGGCAGCCTGGGGCTGCCATTTCCCTGGTGTACAAGGGCCCTGAGGGCTGGTGTGTGACTGTGACACATTGGCACCCGGAGCTGCCATTTCTATGGTGTACAAGGAGCCTGAGGGCCGGTGTGTGGCCACACCACATTGGCAGCCCAGGACCACCATTTCCCTGGTGTACAAGGGCTCTCAGGGATCCCTGATCCAGGGACCTCGATCACATGTCCTGACCACAGAATCGCAGGGCCAGTTTGGTTGGTAGATCATCTCAAGACCTCTGAGATTATCGAGTCCAACCAACAGTATGAACCTACACCACCTTGTCAACCAGGCTGTGGCACCAAGTGCTACGTCCAGGCTGTCCTTAAACACCTTCAGGGACTGTGACTGCACCACCTCCCTGGCAGCCAGTTCCAATGTCGAATCACCCTCTCAGAGAAGAAATTTGCACCCAGTAGGGAAATACTGACCTGCAGAAGAAGGTGCAAGCCATAAAAACTGATCCTTTTGTATAAAAATGAAAGGGATTGGCTGAACAATACAACTGGATCTGCTGTGACTGCTTCTGGGCAGACTGAGGGCCATACCAGCAGGTGCTGGATGTGCAGGGCTTGGATTCAGGAGGAGCTGGATCACAAACACACGAAGGTAACACATGCAATTAGATGACAAGCGAGTTTATTTTGCAAAACAATCACTATACAGCAACAAATACAATTGCAAATTGGATTGAAAAACATGAACTACCTACCACCAGCCATTCAAGAAATGCCTCTTTTATGGTAACAGGCTCTAGAATTATCAGAAAAAACACAGGTTTGTAACAGCAGACTGTATTCCTTGATATCCCAGCAAACAGCATGTTTACTTGTTGGCTTTTTCTCTTTGCTAAAGTTGAAGTGGCTTTTATACGCTTGACTTTTCCCAGTGTGAAACTAATTTACCTTCCTGCAGTGGGAATTGCTGGAGTTGCAGAGGGAATTGCTTTAGCAATCTGACTAGTGAGTGAACTCACAGACACCTAGGCTAGAAATCTACCAGCACTGATTTTCACAGCTAATGTGATCTACTCTTCAAGGCATTTGCCTTTGAAGGGACATATACTTGGGTTTCAAACAGTATTTATTCCAGCATGGAAAAAACTTCTGCTCATGTGGTAGCCAACACAGGCTGCCTTTTGACTCCCTTTGAGTCATGTATTTAGGCAAACTTAGACGTGTGAGCAGTCATGATGAGGTTACTACTGTACCATAGCAGAGGACTGAATAATTAATTCCATTTACTGCTGTACAGTGAAAATATATATTGCCCTTGTGGGCTCATAATTTTCCTCATCAGGTTGAGTTTTTCCTTTACTCTTGCTGGACAGAGGTTTGCTCAACTTTGATTTGTTTCAGCTTGTGGTTACATAGAAACAGAACTCTGCAGATGAGGCAGAAGCACTCTTTCATCTCTACAACCCGATGGATTATTAAATGTGGGGTGCTCCCCTAGGTACCCAAACAAGGTTTCACCATTCCTTTTGTCTGGATTACCTCTGCTTTGTTACACAATTGGGTCTCAGGCACCCAACAAACCTGCTGGCTCAACATGCCTGTGGAAAAGAAACACAACAGATGCAGTTTCCAGGAAGCTGGCTCTATCTTCTTTAGTGGGCATTACATATTTACAAACTGTTGTTTTTAAAACGAACACTCTTCTTGAGAAAGTTAAGATTAATATGAGCTTTTCAGTGAACATCTAGAGTCATGTAATATAACTTGGTTTTTAAATTATTATTCAAAAGCACAAAACTCTTAATTTCTTTTTATCTAACTCCACAGCATTCTAGGATTCTTTCTATGGAAGGATGATAATGATTACAAAGGTCTTTGCTTCAGTCAAAACAAGAAAGCTCATTTTAATGCATGAAATAAATGACTTGGTGTGTTACACACTCTAACTTTGGACTCATAGGTGGATTAACTAAGCCTTATTTTCTAGAGTATGCCAATTTTAAAAGCAGAATAAAAACACTTGAGTCTTAGATTAACACTGTTTTCATGAGATGCTGCTCGGGTTCAGAGAGCAGAGGTTCAGTAGTACCAAGTTTTTCTCCTACACTGGCAAAAGGCATAGAAAGAAAAACCACTGCAAAGCTAATTTATATTATTGATAGCATAATCAGAGCAAAGTGATACAAATACTGTCAGTTTTCCTTTCTGTCTGTTGTTTTTCTGAAAAAATGGGAAGAAGATTTTATTGCACCTCACTTGACGCTGTTTCCATGTGAATTCTTAGGATTACTTTAAGCAGAAGTGTAACAAATACAAGGCAGAAATCAGAATCCTCCAATTGCACTTGGGATGGTTCTAAACTCACTGTCCTTTATATGAAACAACTGACTTACAGTGTTAGGTACTCTGTTGTGTGAAAAAACTTTTTGCAGAGCTGAAATGTCATGTGTGGGGCTGTCAGAAGTTCATATTCAGAAGTCTGAGAGATTTAACCACTCTGTTTTGTGTTTGTACTGCTGTAGCAGCTTAGCCAAAACCCCACTTTGGCCCACTGAATATTTCCTGACCAGTAACTGCATTACTACCTGAATGTAATGATGGGGAATCCTGTGCCATTAATTTTTAGAATCTCCACAGACATAAAAATCTCTGTGAGACTTTTCAGACCAAACCCCAACACACATACACACACACATGAAAATTAAGAAGGAAAAAGAACAGATTGAAAGTTTCCAAACCACATCATTAACCTAATACATACATCAAGTATAGCTCAACTGACAGTGCAAAGTTCAGTTAGGAGGTTTCAAAAGGAAAAGATAAAACAATCTGCAAGAATGTAAACTGCTCATTCCTTCATGTCTCATGTACATAGGGCACCAGCAGGTGATGATCTGCTGCTGAGGATCATCCCCATCACCAGTGTTCTCTCAGGTAACTCCACTAGATCTGTTGGTTGTGCATCTGCCTTTTATCTTTCATGCACATTTTTTCTTACACTTTTTATAGTCCATATAATCCCACTTTGTTCAGATTTTAAGATGCCCTATTTAATTGATGAATCTCTATGACAACCAGTCTAGGGAGCTGATTTTTATTTATTCATATGTTGTTAGTTACAGGCATCTCTGCTATGATTATCACTGTTATCTGAGTGCCTGAGTGTACATGTGAGACATCACTAAAGGAGTGGAAACAACATCTTAATATTTTTTCTGTGTTTCAACTTTAGCAAAAGAAAAACAATAAATCAAACATTCATTGTTACTATGGGAATGAAGAAAAAGATGAGGAAGGAAGGGAGGGAAAGAGAAAGGAAAGAAAGAAAGGAAAGAGAGAGAGAGAGAGAAAGAAAGAGAGAAAGGAAAGGAAAGAACGAAAGAAAGAACCAAACTATTGTGGATTTTTTAAAAATCCGTAGTCCAAACTCAGCCTTCTTTGGAGACTCTTTGACAAACATCTGGACCCCACAAAAATCATTTCTTTGTGAAGAAAGGAAGGGAAGAAGGAAGGAATCCTTTTTCTAGCATCACAGAATAGACTTGCATCTGTCACTAAAACAGGGTCACGGCTTTTAGTTGTTACAGAAAGCAACTTCATGCTACAATTTTCATCTTTTTAAAATGTATTCTTATGAATAGGGAAAAAACCCCCTGCTAACATCTACTTTTACATACCTAAAATTGCAACACCAAAGGGTGCAAGAGACACAGATACTGTGAATAAAGAAGTAGAATATTCAAGTATATGAGGAGGGCGTATCACAAATGGCCACAGAGAAATATATATATCTATAATACTGTATCAAACAGATGGAAAGAATGTGGAACTGGTGGTATGCACACAAATCTAGCTGCTTAACCAACTTTTCTAATCAGACACAAGTCTGTTGGGGTATGAGCGCTCGCTTTCAGCAGCTTTTTTACGTCACTTCCCAAAGCACAATTCAAATGTTTTCAGCTAGTATTTTTAGTTATTATTTAAATAATTTATTGGCTTTTCAGCTATACACTGACATAATTAACCAGGTTCAAAAAATGTTAATAACTTAATTCAACTTTTGTTCTACTCATTTGTACAAAGAAACATTTTTTTTTAATTAAAGTTGAATTTCCCTATATGCCCTTCCTTCTGGTAAGCAGACCATTAATTTAACCTGTAATAACTTACAATGGGCAACTTTTCTTTTTTATTTCCCCATCTATCAAAAGAACTGTGAAATGAGCATCTTGGGATATTAACAAGGCTCTTCAGAAAGAGGTGGATGGCCTTCAGGCACATGAAAGGTAAAAATGCATTTTTATCATACTACAGTACTCCATGCAAGACAGAGCAGAGCAACAATAATTGTCCAATGTAACATACCGCTGTATACCCATATAAAGCCAGTGTCTTCCTGTTGTAAATGGAGGTCAGGCCAATTTCTGCATCTATGGAATTTTTTTTTTTTCTGTTTTTTTCTTTTAAACTGTATGGTAACTACAAGTCTTGGGATGTAACTTAGTTTTAGACATGGTAAAGAATGAACGTGACACCTGTTCTGAGCCCATTCCTGCCAAGAGCTCATGCCTAAATATTATTACTTCATACAATGCAAAATGAGCAAATTCATAACCCCTGCTTGGCAAGGGCTGCTGTGACATCTTCAGCAAGGGTAGCAAGCTGGGGTGATTCAAGCAGGTTGATGCTTCCGGAGGATGAGACGTTGCTGAGTCTGCGTGGCGAGGCCATGCTGGACCTGCCCGGTGACTGCGTGATGATCTCAGCCCCGTGGTCAACACGGGCCTTGGCGTGCTCTCTGAAGTTCAGCTTCTGGCTGTCAATCTGCTCCAGGAAAAGAAAGAATTTCACACATTATATGTTCACTAAATTACCTTGTTATAGATCATCATTTGGGCATCATTTTGCTTATTTTAAAAAACTATTAGAAGGATCTAAGCTTCTTTGCTCCTTAGAAAATTGTATTTTCACCTTGTTTAATAGCTACTGGTGTACTATGTTACATTCTCTTACCATTTCTGTCTCTGATGGATGCTTTAAAGAGAAGTTCCTAGCTGTACAAATATCATAAGCATTGTATGGGCACTATGATTTGTTTTAAAAATCTGTATTTTCAAATGTTTGTGGGAGTGATCTTACTTTCAGGATGTTTTCCTCTTGTTTCACAATGGAGTCCTCCTCACAGATCATACCTCATATCTGTGCTGTCCCTCAGTCCCAGACAAGGGACTTTAGGGGGAAAAGACAGTGCACAAACTACATGACATTTCACTCTCAGCTTAGATGCAAATACAAGATGGGTCATTCCAAATTTCCAAGGGAACAAATTGGTATATGAGTGTGCTTGAAAGAGGACAGACAGATGTTTCCTACTCAATTCAGAGCCAGCAGTGAATTTAGAGCTCTAGTAATTTCACCGGGCCAGGGGCACAGTGGGAGCCTTTTCTGACAGCTGTTCCTTTACCTTGACGTTACCACCACCAGGTACATGGTGGGCATTTTCCAGTGAACCAACTTTAGCCTGAGCTTTTTCTTTGAAATCCAGTTTCACACTCTCAATTTTCACACGCCCACCTCCTACAGAGGAAAAGGAAACACAGATTAGAAAATTGAAATGGCGCAGGAGAAAGTGTGAGCGCACTCATGCTTCAGGTCACACTATCTTCCTTTTAGTTGAGATTTAATGATTTTTAAGAAGCACAGAATGATGTTCTGCATGTTCAGTAACATAAAATCTTCAACATATATTTAAACTGTAAGCAGGTGCTGCAGTCCTACTGGTTTTCATGGCATTTAAGCACATGCTTAAGTATTTCACTGACTTCAGCCTATATTTCAATCTTATGCCGAGCACCATCCTTTGGCAGTATTTTTTCATCACCTCCCTAAACTAGGTGGTCTCATACCTTTATGTCTTTATATATTTAGTTAAGTAATGTATTTTTATTACTAAAGAGTATTTCTTTTCTCTTTGACTGTAAAAGAGAACAGTATCATCCACGATTCTGAGCTTAAATAACAGTATTGAGTTCTTGTTTTGTCCCACAACGCATAAATTCCCACAGTACCTGGTTTGTGGTGGATATTCTTGAGCGAGCCACACTTAGAAGTCACATGACTCAAGTCAATCTTCTTGGTTACAATTTGTACCTGCCAAAAGTGCACACATACAAAAATTACAGGAATGAAAAGAATAAAATAAAAAATTATGTTAAAAGCCAAGCTCTGCAGAGAAAGAGTGAGAGGCTTCTATAAACCACTGGAAAAGGAGAAATGGTTAGTAGAACACAGACCATGCCACAAAAGAGGAAACCTCCCACCTAGGGAGATGACAAAGCTGGGTTAAAGCTTTACTATTAGCAAAATGAAGAGGAGGATGAAGGAGATCAGCTTGTGGGTTCTTTCTAAAATGTTTCTGAGCCTCCTCCTTTCAGAGTGGGTGCTCCAGAGCCCTGCACACAGCAGGACCCATCCCATTTGCTTCTGTCTCGATTATGCATCCTGGCAACCAGGATATTTTGGTGACTGCTTTCTTCTCTACCATCTGTTTTTTATTTTTCTGCATCTATATATGGTATCCATTTCCTGTCAATCCACTATGCAGAGTCTGAGTAATCTACACATGTGCCTCCTGCTGTTGTACCTGAGCAGCTGAGGTTCAGCCAGCTGGCTCAGTGCTCACTGCAGAGCAGCAAGTCAGGCACCCTCCTTCCTCCTGCTGCCACCTTGCCATGGCTGTGCTGAGCCCAGCTTGGAAACAGACAGACAGTAACATTCCCAAGTAACTCCAAGATATGGCCCACGGGCACTGAGCTGGCAAGCCCCAAGAAGTCACAGCCAGCCAGGAGCTCCAGGGTAACTGCAATGCCACTGGCTTGCTCACCACACCCCCAGTGGCTTAGGCCAGCACTGGCTGCTGTATTGACCCTGCCTGGATTAGACATGCCCACACCATCAGCTCTTCTGTCTCAGGGGTGATCATTTCCATCAGGGCAGTCATAGCCACCTTGCTACTCCAGTGTGCCCAAAAAAACAAGGAGGTGTCTGGTCAAACCCTGGGTCACCTCAGTTTCTTATACTGGAAGGATGCTGTGACATCAGCACTCAGCATGCTGGCTGATTACACCCTCTTCTCTGAGCTTTCTTCATCCTCCTGTTTTATTTTTCTTCTTTCCCTCTGCTGAATGCACATAACTTAAAGGTTAGCTGAGGAAGAACTGGTGCACAGAAAATGCCCAGTGGGGAGGCTGGAGTCTCACTGTGTGCTACAGTCTCTTTCTGGAAATTACTTTCTTGGGCTCCTCCTATGAAAGAAAGGCACTGAACCATTTTGGCTCAGACTGCACTTTCACTTGGGCATTTAGAGATAACCTTTATTTTATCATTTAGAGATAAACATTCTTTTATCACTTACAGATAACCCTTTTATAATTTCCTTTCCCTGTCCAAGTTCTGAAAATGTTTTGTGCTCTGTGGGGAAAGATCAGGAGGCCACCACCGCAAACACAGGGCTCACGCGACCACCAGACAAACTCACACGTGAAACAGCAGCAAGAAGGAAAGCAGTGCTCAGAGGAAGGGAGACAGAGGCTTCTGCCTGTGTGAGGTGCTTCACCACAGTGGAAGTGCCTGTTCCCAGGGTGTCCATACTACTTACATTTCCTCCCCCCGCAGAATGTTTGATGTTATCTCTGGAACCACACCGGGACTGAATATCGCTAAAATCGATCTTCTTGTTTAAAATCCTAACCTAAAAGGAATTGGAGGTAACTTACACATACCATACACACACTCAGTTGGGGGTGCAGGACAAGGAAACCAGGGTAATTTGCCTCCTACAGTGACTCCTTCTTCTGACACTTATATTGAAATGTGAGAAAATAAACCCTGTCAATCTCTTAGTATGTTCACACAGCATCTGTAAATACATTGCACTGTTCTTTTTCTACCTCACAAAGTGGTGGTGAGATACAAAGGGGAAAGTTCTATACTGGGAGGTATGAGAGGCGGCTTTTCCCTGAAAAAATTAAAGAACTCCATGCTTGCTTAGGCTGGGCCTGGTCTTTGGACAGCGTGTTCTAGGGTCTACTGAGGGATATTCAGTGTTTCTACTGAACTGGCCACAAGAAGATGGGAACCCACCTTCCCACAGCTCAGCACTCCAGCCTTTGATGCAGAAATCCCAGATCCAGCCAGCACAGGCTGAAATCCTGAGGTATTTTAACCCACCAATGATGACAGCACCAGCCGACCCCACACAATCGGTAGGTCACCTTCAGAAGGGCAGCTTCAATAGTCAAACTGATTTCTATCTTTCCCCCTCCCATCTGCTTATCTGTCCAAGTAAACCAACATACACTGAAATATGAAAGCAAATGCCTTTGGAATTTCATGCTTGTGCTTTCTTTCAATATGATATTTGTTTAAAAATGTACCCAAGTACTATATGAGACACATGTCACATCAGTTACAGAACCACACATCAGATGCGCATTCAGATCTGGCTCTCAGACAGCTTCTGGCTAGACACAATTGGGCAAAACAGAAGGAAAGCCTTCCTGGCACTTTCTGAGCACATCTCTCAATGATGGATCAGCAGCACTTCTTAGCTATGGCCACAGGGATTCATCTGCTCTGAAAATGCTGACTTATGGGTCATGGCAAGACCTCTGCACTCCGGGCCTGTAGCTTAAAATGGAGCCAAAGCAAGGTGAAAAGTTGAGAGAATGCCTTTGATCAAGTGCCTAAAGGCTGACTTGCACTCAGAAGTCTGACAGTTCAGTCTCATGGCCCATGGACCCAGCTAGCAGATATATAAAGAACCAATCATCTCAATTATCTCTCCATCTCACTGGGTGAAATGTGCCCCTGTGCAGCAGGGCCAGCAGGAGACCTATGCATCATTTGTGTCCTGTGCTGAGGGCAGGAGAGAGCCGAGGGACATGCATGCATTCTGCTGCTCATCTGGCACAAGGAGGAACTGAACTTTCAGGTTTTCCCTGATGATCTGTTTCTCCCTTTCCTGGGATATAGCAGTATCCCTGCACATATTTAAATCATAACCACCCTCCATAACTAAGTGTTCCACAAATGAACAGGGTTTTGTGTCCTGTAAATAAGGGCTTGAACTGCTTAATTCATCCATCCTGTATACTCCAGCAAGCCCTATCCCTTCCAGCCAGCATTTTGTCCCAAGCTTTCTCCCAAGTCTGCTGGACTGGCCAACAGGCAGTATAATACACAACCAGCCAAGTGTTTGCTGTCTCTGATTGTGGACAAGGGCTGAGTTCACTGCCTTTACCCCAGTGATGGTGTTATGCTGAGTCCCTACTTCATACTCTGTGTAAAGGGACTTTCTGTATTTCTCACCACTGCTCCTTTGCCAGCACTGGCTGAAATTGTCCAACAAGTTCCAAATGAGTTGAGAAAGGCTGAGAATGCCAGCCAGCCAATGTGACTGCAGGAGCAGTTTTGTTTGAGGAATCATTGTAATCAGGAGCGGGAGCTTACCAGAAAGGGACAGGAACCATTCAGACTAAAGAGAAATTTGGCTTGCAAACAAAGAAGAAACTTTGGCTTGCAAACTGACTATGAAACATTTGAAGCTGGCATCTGGAGGGAAATCTTCAACTCTCAGAGCAAGGAATTGCCACATGAGGGAGCACAGCTACAAAAAATTGGCAAACTTTCATGATGGCATTTGATGAAAGGAATTAGATGATGCAGCTGCCTGCAACAGGGGCAGCACAAACACAATGAGTCACCAGGAAGGTTCTCTGTGTTCCAAATGTGTATGTACATCTTGTGTGTGGGTGGAGGTGTGGTAGGGATGCACATATATGCACTTCAGTTGTGCTGCAAATTAAATGAAAGATCAAGCCCGCTCATGCTCTCATTCAGGAAAGGAAACATTTTGTGTGTGGCAAAATGAAAGTCTGTGGCAGAAACAGGGCTGCTTTCTATCCACACTCTCTAGAAATACCAACAAGATAAGATGTCATGACAGAATCCCTTGTAACCCCTGTTCTAACCTGCCAGTATGAAGTGGGTACCTTCTCTTCTGATGTGATACTGGTTTGCCCAGGTATGCTGGGAAGGGCCTGGAAGTCAGTATCTGGATTAAGACGAAGCAGAGGTTCCTCTGCACTTGTCATAATTATGTGTAATTAAACCACGGTGGAAAATTAAAGCCTTACAGACAATGCAATGTTTATTCTTTAAAACCATATTGCCCAAGAGAAAACTGGCTTCTGTCTGAAGCCCTGGGTGTCTGACAGGCCTTCCCCTCACTCTGTCTTCTGCTGACTCCTCAGCAGTAGTCCAGAACTGAAGCCCAAGGCAGACTGTGTGCCAGCATGCACACAGCATGGCCCCAGTGACTCCCACTGCTTCCAGAGAGCTCCCAGCAGGGCTGGGAGAGTGCCCTCCAACACCCACCCATGCAGCTGGAATGCTGCCTGTGAGAGCTCTGGGCAATGGGGAGCATTTATGCATAGTCTGCTGCAAGGAAAACAAGTGCCGAAGGTATTTTCTCAGAGTTGATTTAGGTGAGGCATATATTGCTCTGCACCCAGAGCAATATATGGTTATTATTAACCATAATAATAACTGGTTAACTGGTTCCCTTCCTACTCCTTCAGTGGCCTGACTGGCAATCAAAACAGCTGGAGGTCTAAGGGAAGCTTCTACACTAGAGCACAGGGAATAGTTCTGGGTTAAGCTTGCTGGCACAAGAAGAAGCAGACAGGCTATGAGACACAATATCTGTAAATCTTCCAGTCAGATATATGCCTCCTGTTAAACAGAATATGAGTTGGATTTCAAAGACTCCCTGTACAACAGTTTGCAGGTCCTCCTCTGCCAGTACTACACCACTGTGTTCATGATGAGCAGAAATTTGTAGAAACACTGAGAGGAAGGCAGAGAAATGGCTAAAAGAATTTAGTTCAGTTGTGTTTAGCAGTTTAGTTCACTGCTAAAGACAACGCCAATGTCCAAAAGCTGCTTATGCAAGAGAAAGAATTAGATTCCATTGCTGCCTAGAATAATTCAGTTCAGCTGCTTTTCACAAGAGGAAAACCCCCTAACTTACCAACATCTGGGCAGAGAGTCAACAAACAGCTTTCCTTCTATGGCATACTACACTTGTATACATTGAAAAAGATATCTGAAGAACAAAAATTGTGATGCTGATGATATTAAAGGCTCTGAATATTTTTTCCAAGGAAATGATGGCTTATGTTCTCCCTGCTTTGCAATTAGGGCCTCTGAGAAGCTCTGCCACAAATACTGCCTAAAGCATTAAAAATACTCTAGCTTGGCTCTACTTGGCTGTTTGAACATGCTCTGGAACTGTAAAACTAGGAAAAGCTTCCAGACTCCTAACAGCTTATCAAAAAGGAAAGCTTCCTTCTATTTACCACAGCACTTTGACTAAGCTATATCCCAGGAACCAGACATTCTTTCAGTGTTTGATCTCTAGGTTAACACAGGTATTTAAGTGAGACAAGAATTGATCTTGCACAGGAAGCAAGGTTAAGTTTAAAAACTGATTAGAATCAAGAGAGAGTTCAAAGTGCTTCCAAATTTATCTGCTGCCAAGGACAGATGATACCAGACTTCCTGCTCCTGCCAGAGGCTACAGGGAGAGGAAAGGGAGACAGAGGGTATTTATTTGACCTAGTAAAGTCCTTGAAGAGAAAGACTGTGCCTTAGATTTGCCACACCTACAGACAAGACTTGTGATGGTATTCAGCCTTTGCACTCCTGGAATGAGAGGATACACACACACCAGCAAGGCTGCCAGTCCAGAATCTAGTCGTATTCAAAATAAAAGGCTGTGCTGGACATGGGCCCATAGAATGTCCCATTCTCACCCTGCTCTTAGGAAAGGGTGAGCAAGGCACAGTCATTTCTGACCTTTAAAAACATACTGAGAGGCAGACACTGAGCAGATAATATTGTCATGAGCCAAGTCTTGAATCCTTGCACAGGACAAGAGTGGCTGATTGACAAGCTTCTTTATACCTACCCTCACATTACTGTACTAAAGTAATTAACAGGATGGCCATGCTGAACAAGGCATGTCCCTACCAATCAGGGGAGGAAAAGCCTGTGGACAAATACTTAGAGGGTCTGCATAATTATGCAGCAAATATGTCCCTTAGCATTTTATTGTTCAAATCCAAATTTCCAAGATAAAACCATCTATTCTTTTCTTTCTTGCCCTTCCTGTCTACCAAAACAATTTTTTCTAACCTTTCCATGCAAAATGGAACACTGTTATATGATGAAACAGATCTAATCCAGATTATGAATTAGATCCATAAGCCAGACTATGGATTAGATCCAGATTATGTATTCCCTGAACATTTTTCCCAAAAAAAACACCTTTCTCATTTTATTTCTCAAAATTTAGGCTACTTAGAGCTCAGCTGGAAACACCTCCTTTGCTGAGCTTGCTGCTGGGATAACTCAGACTTTCTCAGGAATTTACCTCCTAGTAATTTCAACCTACTCCAGGAAAAAAAAAATACAGCTTCTTCCCATAGTTATTAATGAGAGAACAACACCACATGGTACCATCACAGCTGGGATTTGACTCTTCTAACATTAGCCAGCTAAGAATTGGAACTGGCTGCTGAAGCTGCCAACTGTAGCTGGTGGAAAGATACTGAATCCTCCAGAAAGTGGCACCTCCAGCCCTAGACTGAGCATCTGAGTGGCAGAAATCAGGGCACTGCTGCTCAC